CCAAATTGTTTACTGGCCACTCTCTTAGCTCTTAGCTTAAAACTTCACCGTAGAACTATAAAATGATTAACGAATTCTTTTACAGTCACTGGTCACCTATACTATTATTTTTATTTTAAATAGTTATAAAATTCTTACCAGCAATCTCTTCCAGTTTATTGAACATGTCAGACTCAGTGCCGCCGAGCCACACGGGCCTCTCGAACATGTCTTCAACTTTCTTACTGCTAAGTTTCGCGAGCCGCGTCGCCTGGTACCCGGACATCTCTACTGTCTATACAATAAGGTGCAAATTGCAACAAATTTGGAATTTGTTACTGAAAGTGCATAAAAAATTAAATTGACCATTAAATATGCATTGTAATACTATTATATTTGAACATTGTCTATTGTATTCAAATAAGAACAATTTAAAATAAGTTTGTTAAGAAATTTAAATTTAAAAATAAAATATAGCTTTTATTTCATTCGAACACAATTAGTTCGTGAATTGTGTTTGAAATTAAGCAAATTTTTTTTTATTTATTTTTTCTTTCTGCACTATAATAACATTTAACAGTCCGTTTATATTAAGAAAACAATGAATTACCTTTCCCTCCAGATCTTCATCAATAAGGCCTTCCATGTATTTCTTTTTCAGCACATATACGCGCCGACCTTTAGTAGAGCTGAACATCTTTGCGGCTTTGCTCTTAGCTTCAGATATCGTCATAGTCGGATTAAATTGTTTTAACAATCTCTCCGCAAAGTTTTGTCCCGCACCTATCGCATAAACTTTAATTTTATTAACAGAAAAATAGTAATTTTATTGGAGATGCGTTACCTATCTTTTAATCGACGGAGGAAGGGACTCACAGAAAGGGGATAATACCCTTTCTATGCGGGACGCATTTACGTAGTATGGACCTCTTATTTGGGGGGGAGGTTCCTAATAAACATACATTTATTTTTGACTAGCTTTCACCCACGACTCTATTCGCGCGGAATGAAAAAAAAAACAAAAGCAAGTAGCATATGTATTCTTCCAGACAATCCTCTATATCTATGCAAAATTTCATCGAGATCCCTTCAGCCGTTTTGGCTACAAACTCTAACAAACATCCATCCATCCATCTAAACTTTCACATTTATAATATTAGTAAGATTATTTTGAAGAATTCTGCTAATTTTCAAAATTCATGCAACCTCAAGTTCGAAATCAGATAAAATTTTCCTCAACCCCCAAATATGTTAATCTAGAACATTTTAGGAATCACTAGTAAACTGACCATATATCCTAGCATAATTGATGACTTTAGCGTGGTCCCTGTTAACACCGGCTGCGGCCGCGGTCAGCGAGTGCAGGTCAGTGCGACGCGCCTTGTCCCCCGCTAGCACTGCCCACCCGAACGCCGTGCCCCCACACACGCCCGTGTTACTGTCCCCCAGTAGCGCTGCTATCCATAACTCCTGTTATACAACGATTGTATACAACACTTCGTTTTTTATATTAATGGAAATGTGGTATAGCAAATAACGTAAATCGACATTAGCGTATATAGGTAGAAGACGGACCTCCATTTGGCTTTCTTTTTATGATTTACGCATCTATAGCGAAAAAATTAACAATAGCTTTTGATATATTAAAACATAAGTTTTGTGTTAAACTTACGTGCACCCGGTAATATTCATCATCATCATCATCATCATCATCATCATCATCATCATCTCCCCTGCCTTATCCTACTCCCATAACTCTATCATACGTCATCTCAGTCATCACTCCCTTCATGATCACGTCACCTTTCACGTAATCCATCAATATCTTTCTAGGTCTACCTCTAACGGTGTACCCCTCCACATTCATAATAGCACTCAGTAATATTCATTTACTGAAAATCAACACTAAGTGTCTATTTTATTGAGTAATGGATATAAATGCCACAGTTAGTCTTAAAACTCCAATTATGTGACTTTTGCAACATGTTCTATATGATTGTATTAAGTAGCATAAGTAAACCTGAAGTAATATTAATTGTAAATCGTTATATACCTGTGAATCTACATCAGCGCCCACAAAGTGGTAGCCTGGCGGTGCTTGTACCATAGCGCGCAGCTCCGAGCCGATGCGCTCCGCGTGAGCATTGCTCGCCGTCATCCACGTCGGCTCGCTCGCTCTGCACCACAACGAGCAGTGGATACGTAACAAATACACGCAAACACTATAGCAATTATGACCCTAGTATATAGTACTTTTATTGTAACCAAATATAATCAGCAACAGTTTAATAGTAGAAGAAATAAAATGCATTATTTTTGACTAGAAAGTTACTCCCAGAAGTGAGAGCATCGGTGGCACAGTTGTTAAACACATGGTCACACCTACATCTACAAGTCCAGGTTCGAATCCCCACCTGGACTAATATTTTTCGATTTCGTATTTCATATGTACGTTTATCTGAAAATTTTACGGTGAAGGAAAACATCGTGATGCAACCACATATAATTCCAGCGTTTATTTCATAGAACGAGATCACTGCATTTGATTGCTGGACTGGAATATATAAACTAGGCATAATAAGTGGTTCACTTTTGTCAAGTATAATTGAACAGTTGTAATCAGTCATAGACTATATGGTGCTAGTTAGCGTTCATACTGTGTCAGACGCTTGACAGTCCAGTTCAGCGCTACTGACCAACTGTACTGGCACAGTGTGTTTGAGGCCTAAGGGGAATCACGAGTAGGAATATTATCATGCAACTGACCGTCTCGTTAGGGTCCCGCAGACGACAACTTGAGGTATAATAGCGCCGTACTGCCGACTGCTGGGCAGCGGCGGCAGGCGGCGCAAGGGCAGCCACACTACTTGCTGCGCGCGGATGCGCTCGCGATTGTTGCGCCAGTACGACATCATACGCGCGAAACTTAATACCTACACGCATTAAACATGGAAAATATATAAGAAAACTATTGTGGATCTTTGACAATGAAAATCCTGTTAGAATTTTGGTCTGTAGTGATGTCTGTGGGTATGTGGGCGCTACTCTCAATAATTTATTAACCTATTTGGATGCGGTTTTTACTAATGTATTATAGTTAACAACGCATAACATTTAGTAGTCATTTTATCTTAATAAGTTCATACAAAAAAAATTAAGACAATTGAAATTACAGTTTCGTAGATTTAATGTCCAATGTAAGTTGACCTTAGATTTCTTTGGTCATATGTATTAAATAGGTATCAGTTTTGATTAGACAGTAAACATATTGTAATTTTATTTTACCTTTTCGGCTTCATTCCCCTGCGCCGCGAGAACATTCTGACTGAACATATTAAGAAAATCCTTGGCGAGAGGGTTGCCAACTTTGTACTTCGGCCCATCTTTATGCGGCAACCTTAGGAAGTGACAGCAACCTGGCAATTTTTAAATAATTTTTTAATCACGTATGATGATGCATTTGTATATGAATAGTTTTAATACCTTGTAGCTGTATCCCGCACCACACACCAAGGCCGTGGTACTGATTAGCTGCCGCTTTGTCGTCGAATTTCTTCCGAGCATAATACGCTTTTCTACTAAGATCCTCCTATAATTATTTTTTTAATAAGGAAAAAGACAATGAACAAAGTTACATCAGAATATTTATTTCTATATGTCGTTTAAAAGTAAATTTCTTACCTCAACAGTCTTAGGAAGCACATAAAGTTCGGTATCCACCTCCTTCGGAGTCTGCACCAAGGGGCAAGCTTCTAGAAGCTTCTCCAGCGGTAACTTCGGCCCCTCCACCTCTTCCTCCTGCAGCCTGCTGTACGGCACCAGGAAGCCCCAGCCTTCGCCCTTGATGTGATGCAGAGGGTAACCTTCCCACGTTAGACGAAGGAGTTTGGGTGTAATCTAAAAAAAGATAGTTAAATTATTTAAAGATCTCGTGACTAGATGGCGTTGTTTACAATTTTAAAATAATATTATTGACAATTCAGTCTAGATTGAAAAAATACTTAATTTTTAGATTACCTGCATACTAGTTGTTATATTATTAGCGCCAGGTATCCAATCGATATCTTTGCTGGGTTTTGTACATAATTTTCTATACCAAGCTGGGTAACCGGCTAAATACGGTCTTTTGACTGGCAACATTTTTCCCATATCATAGAGATATGAAAACTTTTTGGTTATATCTACCATTTCATTTTTTGTAACTGGTTGGTTAGAATTACAATTTTTGTTTTCTATCGCTTTTAAATATTCTTCACAGAGTATACTACTATTATTAGTACTTTGAATATCTATATTAGTTTCATTAATATTATTTAGATCTTCTAAATTTTCTGCCTCTTTGGGAACTCTGTTTATGATATTTGGTTCTTGCATGTATTTCTTTTTATAGGTTTGTTTTTTTAATTTCAGATTCTGTATCGACCAATCTTGATCCCACATCCAGAGATCTTTCTTATATTCCTCATTATTCATCATTTTGCAAGCTTCGTCCGCTTTTAATGATAATAGTTGACGGGATTCAAGTTTTAGATCTTCAAATATTGTATCAGATGAGTCTATGTATTGTTGCCAGTTTGAATTTACAGGCAAATATGCTGTACCTATATCATACATTTAATACAATTAAAAATATATATAACAGTAATTAATAGTGAATTATGGATGGTACAATTTTAAACTGTATTTTACTTAAAATTAAATTTATCATCTTAGAAGTTAGAAAGTTAATAGTTTTAGCAGAGCGTCGGTGGCTCTGTGGTTTAAGCACTTGACTTGCAATCTACAGGTATTGGGTTCGAATCCCGCCGTCATGTACCAATGTGATTTTCGATTTTTCGAATTTTCATATGTACATAATTTAGCCGACGTTCTCACGGTGAAGGAAAACTTCGTGATGCAACCTGCACATATCGGAAAAGATTCAAAGATATGTGTGAAGTCAACCAAACCGCACTTGGCCAGCGTGGTTGACTATAGCATAGTCACCCAAACTTTAGGGTAGGCTCCGAGCCCCTCGGTGGGGACTTATAGTGAGCTAGTGATAGATGTGATAGATAGATAGTTTTGGTGTAGTGAAAATTAATCTATAATTTTATATAGTTGGAGGTTAAATTGATCCACTTCTATAGAATAGAGCACAATGTTAATTAAAACTTACAATAGATGTCTATACCACTATTATAATAGTTGTATAATATATATAATATAATATGTATTGCCGTTATTCCTTAACAATCTTGTAACTTACCTAATTCCAGCATACCAGCCAATGTGACTGGATGTGGGAATCTTTCTAGAAACATCGGTAGAAGTTTGCTGAGTACATTATGCGTCGCGATGACGTCACGCGCGCAGTATTCCATCAGTGTTTGAAAGTTCTCGTGAACGTCCTCCATTGTACCCTCGACAAATATGTCTCTAGTCTGCTTGTCTATTGGCTTACCGCAGTATAGATTATGTACCTGAATTAATTCAGAGGATTAAATTAATTAAGAAAAAACTAAAGCATCATTGTCACTTTTTTATTGTCTTAGGTACCTTAATGAATAACGAATTATTGAAGATTTAGAGAAAACAATGGTTAACTTATTATTATCAAGTATGATATATCTGGAGAATATTATTAAGAGATGTAAGATCTTAATAAAATCTTAGTAATCACAGACTTATTAAAAACAGACATATTTCTATCAATTTTAAACACGTAAAACATTCCAAAAAAAAATCCATGGACTAAAATTGACAGCCAGTGTAATGTGTGAATATAATTTGTGATTTCTATAAAATTATAACAATGTTAAGATTTAAAATATTTTTGAGGTACCTCTGTGAGACTGTTCAGTGAACTTATATCAATCCAAGTGTCATCGGATGGGTCAGGTTCCTTGTTCTTAGCTTTAAGCACTGCTCTCTGGTAGCTGGTCACACCACTGACGCATGTGTGCATCGACATTGTATCCATAAAACGTACCCCTAGACACATATATGGAAAATATATTACATACCACTTTAAAAAAAAATATATTTTCATTTAATTCCAAATTAACTTTCGCTTATAACTGTTTTGTTTGGATTAATATTCTCTAGGAAATCTTATCTATACTTATATAATAAATCGTAAACACACGCTAATAAACTTATAGGGTGAGTAAATTGGAAAAAACCGTCTACAATAAAGGGACAAAAATTAACTAGCCAAGAGCAGCAAAGAATCAAGGTTGCCTTGGTTACTTAAATTTTCAACCAATACCAAGGGTATTGTCATTTGATTTTGACATTCGAAATTAAAAGTTTTACAGAATATAAACAATAAATTAAAATTTCATTACATTACAAGGATAAAGAGGCATGGGAACAGCTAGTAATTAATATAATATGGACTCTAATATGAGCAAATATTTAATATATGTTGTCTTTATATTTAACAGTAGTTGTTGCTCGCGACTTCGCCCGAGTGATATTAAAAAAATATAGCCTATGTTACAGATAAATTACCTTCCTAATAGTGAAAGAATCATTAAAATCGGCCTAGTAGTTTTTGCGTGAATCAAATACATACAAAAATCTAAAAATACAAACTTTACTCTTTATAATATTAGTATAAATAAGTTGACTACAGAGGTGTTTGGATTTGACCTTGAAGGGTTAATAATATTAAAGTTTATTTACCTGTTCTTTCAAGCCAATACTGTTCTTTAACTTTAGCCCGATCATATGATACATTATGACCAACGACAATTCTAGGTTCCGATAAATCGTTCACATTCAACTCTAATTCATCCGTTTCTAGTGGTATTAAGTCCTCATAGTTTACATTATCAAAATATTCTTGAGGATCTCCAGTTGCGACTCGTGAACTGACCCAGCCATACCTAAAAATACAATCTTAAATCATAAATAAATAAATTCGTTTATTTCAAAAATACATTTACAAAAGTTTAAAACAGTTGTTAGAGCATCCTTTTAAGTATAAAATACCTGTGACAGGATATTCCGTTCTTCCATAACATAAATTACACTTAATAATTTAAGTAACACTTCAACCATAGAATTAAACAATTTAGTAAAAAGAAATTAACAAATCATGTGGGTAGAAGTGTTCAGTGTTCAGTTCAGGTTCAGTGAGTCATTATAGGTGTTTGCTTTAAATGATGAGAACTAATATTATAAATGCGAAAGTTTAGATAGATAGATGTTTATTAGAGTTAGTAGCCTAAATATCTTGACTGATTTCGTTAGATTTCCGCACAAATGTAGAAAGTCTTAAAGAACACATAGGGTACTCGCTTTTGTTTTTTTATTCCATGTGGAAGGAGTCGTGGGCGAAATCTAGTTGTTAAAAAAATTTATAAGCATGACTGTTTGGTCAGGCTTATCAAACTTTAGAATCTAGTATAGGCTATTGTATTCAGCAGCATACAAGTCTTATAGAGATCTGCTAAATCCAAGTTTTTAAGATACATATTACCAAACATCCATTCATCCATACTTTGGTTTTAAATTATTAGTATGATATTAACCCTTATTTCAACAGAGTTTTTTTGTAGCACTCACATATTATTCTCTAAACTAGTTCAGTAGATTTATTAACATTACTTACTTGTCACACTGGACATTATCGAATTATGAGTTAGAAATAATAATCTGTAAAATTTTACCATGCTTCGGAAGATGCAGCACATGCCAGTGTAGGTCTCTTGCCTGCGGACATGAGGACCTCCACATCAAAGATGACAGCATCATCAGGTGGATATGGAACTGGCTCAGGAGGACCAGTGCCTGTATATTTACACCAACCTTTTGTTCTTGACCATTTCTGAAAACAGTATTTGTAACACATCTACTTTAAACATGTGAAAATGACTTGCATTATCTATTAATTTATTTTGAAACAGTTTAGTGTTTGTTTTATGATGCATATTAAATCTGTGGTTATAGCCTTATGAAGAAATAGTTTAGATAGGTTGGTTATAATTTCTCATTTCCAATGAATTCAACTATTATAACTAAACTAGCTTTCGCCCGCGACTCCGTCCGAGCGGAATAAAAAAAACATTAGTAACTATTCTGTGTTCTTCTAGAGTATCCTCTACATCTATGCCAAATTTCATCAAGATCCTTTCAGCCGTTTAGGCTACAAACTCTAACAAACATCCATCCATCCATCTAAGCTTTTACATTTATAATATTAGTAAGATGGTTTAGTTTATACCTTTGGCAAAGGAGGTAGTTTAGATACAGCTAATTTATTTAACAATGTTCTATATGGAGCACATTGTTTTTCACCGATGTTATAGAAATGCTCCTCTATATCATTTCCTTCTAGTTTTGGCAATTTTAATTTAACATCTGGTAGGCTAGTGTAATCTTTATAATTAATACCATGTTTTAACAAATTCTCCTGGCATCTGAAATAGAGATTTAAAAAAAAAATTAAGGCTATGTTGCATTCCGTATTTAACTATTTTAAACAACGAATGGCAAGTTATTCGTATAAAAAGATATAATCTAAGTTAAAATAATTTTATTTAAGTCGGTAGGTTTGGTACAGTTTTGTATTACTTTTCAATTAGATTTGGATCTACAGCTTCAGATGTTTGTTTAAACAACTGCTCATATATATTCTTAGAAACCATCTGTATGTTAACTTCGTTAACTCTAAATTCATTGGAGATATTATCGATCTTTTTTTCAATACTATCATCTTTCTTAAGGTTAGCTTTACTTGTTTTGTTTTTACTTTTTATTACTATTGCTTCGCTTGCAGGCAGGAAATCACAGTATTGTCTTAAATAGAATTTACGTCTTTTAATATGTCTTACTAATTTATTGGCGATATCCATAATATTTAAATTTAAATCACCAAAATTCAAAACAATAACAAATACTTAAAATGCAACTGTCAAAGTCAAACTCAAAACCAAGTGACATTCCAATAAAGATTAAATTAATTGCATAGATAACACATATATTTATTTGTCCATATATTTTGTTTATGAACCTTATCAATAAAGTTCTCAGGACTACTTTCAGGTTTCCCTTTTGTGGTGTATAGATCTTCAAATTACTAGAAAAACATAATACCCAGCTTAGATAATTATAGAAAAATCCCAAGACAAAAGTGTGAAGTAGAATCCTTTATTTTTGATTAAATCTTGTAGTAATCTCATTTCTAAAGGTAGGTTTGTATGGAGTTGTACTTTTAGATGTAAAGAAAATACAAATTTCATGAAAAATATTTATTAAAGGGAAGAATAAACACAACTACTTAATAATAATAACATGGTCAATTAATTATGAGACTAATACTTTCAAATAATAAAAACAATTAAAAATGCTGATGTTCAATTCACTAAAGTGGTACTTAAAAATAGATTAGATATAAATAGAAGGAATGTTATGTTGAAAATTAATTATTTTAATTGGTTCGCAATTGGTAATCACCATTTTGTGTGATATATCTGACCCATGGCAGAGCCTGATAGCCACTCTTCTCAATAATCTTCAGATATCTAACTTGTATTCCTGAAGTAGTGAAATATGGAATTTCAAATTTAACTTGAATTGGAGGCTTTCCATCAACTTCCTCACATTCTACTGAAGGCAAGCCAAAGTGAGCTCGCATCAAATATTCTTTCCCACCAGGGAATGATTTGATAGACCATGTTATTGCATTTTGTTCAGGAGTGTACTTTACACTGCCAATAGTTGTCTTGAATTTAGGTGAGTCTGCATCAGCTGGGACGGGTATGATAATTTCAACATTATTTGCAGTTGAACGTCTTTTGAATTGAGATTTTGCTTTAATCATATACTCAACTCTTGAGTGTGCATGACGTTCAATCACAGATTCTATCCAAATCAGCGGTTTCACATGAGTGTTCAATCTATATGACATCAGCTCAAACTCACCATCAGGTGGAATAAAAGAGATGGTTCTATCGTTTTCAAATCTAGACAGTCTCACACACTGATGAAACTTTACATCTTCTAACTCAACAGACTTGGATTTTCCTCTCCCAGTACTTTCAAATAGAACCTTATCATTTAACCCAAGGCGCAATTCTGGCATACCAGATAAATAAACTCGCATTTTGATAGCTCCAACTATTTCACTTCTCAAAACATTACCATTCGAGTTTGCTAGTAAGTTTACAGATTCAATTACATCTAAGAAGACCTCATTTTTCCTATACTTTATACCCTCAGATCTCCATGAGACAGCATTTGTTACCGCCATTGGAATCCTAGGTTGCATTTCTAATTTATGGCCTTCCTGCGTTATGTATTCTTGCAGGATTTTGCTGTCAGTTGTTTGAGGATACCCAAAATCTATAAGTTCATCAAGCAATTCGTAAATAACAACAAAGTTATCACGAATACTCTCCTCTTCAAGTTCCTTGAAGTACTCGGCCATGACTTCTACAATTTTATATAAAAATACAAACACTAGGGCAATATTTGCATTTTTTCTTGTAGTTGAAACAATGTAGAGATTGTTTGTTTTAATGTAAGCGAAGGTACACTCGCTAGTCTGTAGCAGAGGGCTTAGCATTCCTTCTTCTTCTTTCTCCATCAATAAGGGCATAAACTTGTCTATGACACCCAGGTCTACATCGCCGCGGTAATTGCGTGATATGAGGACTTTGCCTTTCACGTCTAATATGTATATTGCTGACGACGACATTTTTAAGCTGAAAAACAATTAATTACAGTACATACACGGTAACATGTAAAAAATTAAGCGTTAAAAACCTGTTTTGCACTCAATCATCTGGCGAAAGAGATATTGCATGTAATAACAAAAGCAGCAAGAAATGTTGTAAAATTAGTAAAGTATATACCCGTGTGGCTGAAGTTGCTAAAAATTAACAAATTGTTGCTTAATTTAATAAAACTTCATCGCGTCTATTGATAACCGTGATGACGCAATGAGACGTATTTCCATCGAGTGACAAATGACATCTCTTTGACAGAAAAAGGCAGAGTATTGAGGAAAGGTTCAATTTTACAGAATTTTTCAAAGATTGTCTTGATTTGCACTTCAGTAAATTAAACATTCATGCAAAATTACTCATGAAAAAGAATGAAAATTCTATTGCATGTAAATAAAATTCACCTTCAAACTTCGTATGTTTAACTATTTAATAGAAGCTTAAAGAAAAAGTCGAATGAAATGTCTATGTCAGCAAAATGTCATTACACATCTTGCTCCTGTGTTTCTGCTAAAAATCTAAAAACAGTCTATGATTAGGGTAGGTCAAGGAATTTGGATCCCGTCCTTACCTCTTCGTGTTTATTTTATTTTTCTTAGTGTTTTTCTATATTTTCTTAGTTAAATAATGATAGTATCTATTCAGATCACGTATTTATTGTTTGTTTGTTAGTTTTTATAAGTTGACAGGTATCACAGCTATAAATGTATTTCATGATTTGCTAAAAAATGATATCGGGGTCTCAGCGGAGAAGGCAACAAAGAAATCCTTTAGTGTTCTTAGATATTGTGACTGATGGCGAGCCAGGTTAGTCTAGTCTATTAAAAAGTTTTCTTAAACAAGTGAAATTTTCTTTAATCTAATATGTTTCTACGCGACATGCACTTTATAACTGCATTGCTATGATTTATTTATGATTATTCCGAGTGACTGACTTCAAATTCAGTTCAGTGGGCCGAGGTCACGTAACATTGTAGAGATGAATTATTCATTAGGGCATGTTTATGGTGTATATGGATATATCAATAGACATTTTATTTGAAATATCTTGAGCGAAATACCCAATGTTCATATACATATATAATTTCATTTACCTATATTAAAATAATCTACAAGACATGTTTTGCATTATCCTAGTAAATTGTATTTAAATTAAGTAATGTACATAAGAGCTATTCAAAGCTAAACATGACTAGTGAATTGATTTTATTTCAGCTGGAAGAATAGTAATAGAGCTTAGAGCCGATATAGTGCCTAGAACTGCTGAAAACTTTAGAGCATTGTGTACGGGAGAGAAAGGAATAGGTACCAATGGAAAACCACTGCATTACAAAGGAGTTCGCTTCCATAAAGGTATATTCTTATAAGATTCTTATCAGATTTTATACCATGTAATGTGCTAGCCAGAATTATAAAAAAAAATAACCATTAGAGCATTGCCTATGTTTAATAAATACTAGTAAAAATCCAATAAGAATATGACCTCAATTTGATATTTTCTTCAAGAATTCATCCACATGGAAATAAAAATAAGTCTATGTGCTCTTCCCAACTATGATTTACGTCTATGCCAAATTTCATCAAGATCCATTCAGCTGTTTAGGCCACAAAAAAACAAACATCCAATCCATCCATCAAATCTTTGCATTTATAACATTAAGGGCCTGTCCCACCACAGGCTGATAGAAGCTCAGATAGCTTAAAAATGATGTCACTTTCAAATAAGATAACAAAAACCAATATTCCCATCACATTTTTTACATGTTGGATTGTTATCAGACAATTTACAATTTAGTGGGACTGTTGAAGATACTTCAAAAATGTTTAAGTGTTGAGATGGAATACCCACTAAAGATTTGTATTTATTTCCAGCTGTGTCTCAGTTCATGGTACAAGGGGGGGACATTGTCAATGGAGATGGCACTGGAGGGGAGAGTATATATGGACCAACATTCGAAGATGAAAATTTTAATCTCAGGGTAATTATATTTTGTTTTATTTAAAGAGGCTCTTGGCTTTATTATTTATTAATCTATACAACTTTAGTAAAAAGTTTTAATAGACAAATTTCTTTAAAATTCCCTGTAAAAAATGCAACATTAAATAACGGGATGAAAATAGTACCCTGGTGACTTTGCATTTACTAAATACTTATCAAATGTGTGCTTGTTACAACCAATAGCCATTGGTTTGATTTAAATTTTATTTCTAAGTTAGCAAGTCACATTGTACACGAACAGCCATGTGAGGGCGCTTATGTCGGGATAGCTGAGTTAGCTATAATTCTTGCCTGTCGTAATAAGTCTCATGTTACTGAAATGTGCATATGTTAAATACATTTGCTATTGTGAAATTTTGTAATTACTAAATTTAATACAATAAATCAATTAGATCAGAATTTTTAAATGTAGATGTTAAGAATAGGCTTTAAATTTAAATGATGGATTGTGTGAAAGAGAAAATGTATGGGAGGTAATAGCGGCTGCTAGAGAAGTATGGAAGAGTACTGTGACGACCCAAAAGTCAAAAGGAATCTGTATCTTACGAATTGTATTTGTAAAATCTACGATAGCTTGAAGTTATTTTTTTTATAATATAAGGTGGCAAACGAGCAAACGGCCACCTCAATCCACCGAAATGGAAAGTGACCTCTGCCCATAAATATCCTCAATTGTAGATGTGTTGCCTACCCTTAATTGACGGTTAAAGTCTTAACATTAAAGTAAATGTCTTTATAAGAGTTTGTTTAATACTGTTGTATGACATTAACTGGTACTTATATTTTGCTATAAGTCATTAGATATGTGATATTAGAGATATGAAAGTGATTCATTTCTATATAAATCGAGGTAAACATGTTAATAAATATTAAATATGTAATTTCACAAAGTAAACAATATATGCATATGTTTGTTTGATTATTGTTTATATAAACATATTATTACTGTTAGTTTATATGCTGATGTTACAAAGTAGGGTTGAACGCAGTAAAGTTAAACATGTGCTGGAATAGCTTTATTGCTAGGTGTTTACAACCTTGGACACTTCCTATAAGAAAATGCATGTCATGATGATTATAATATATGCGATAGCCAAATAATAGACAAAAAAAGAATTTTATGTCTTCTGAAAATAACACAATTTTTTGAATTATTTTAAAGTTAAATAAATCATCAATTAAAATGAAAGATGTACGCTTTAAAACAATTTATATCAAACGGTAGGCAACACTTGTTTACAAGGGAAAGTCTAAATCTCAAAAACATTTATAAATTAAGCACAATGGCGTAGCTCTCTTATTTATCTCATCTTACCAAATTAATTTACTATACCCAATATCACTCAATATCTAAGTTCATAGTTCTAATAAAAGAATTATTAAAATTGAACAACCAGGAGCAAAGTTATTAAGTAACAAAAAACATACATATGAATTGATTTTTTTTTAAATAAATAATAATGCACTTTCCAGCACGACCCCGGCGTGGTGAGCATGGCCAACAAAGGCCGGCCGCATACCAACGGTTCCCAGTTCTGCCTCACCAATGTACCGTGCCCTCAACTTGATGGACGTAATGTAGCCTTCGGGCACATACACTCCGGTCTCGGTTTACTGGCTGATATACAGGCGTGTGCTGAAGATAACGGACGTCTTACTATTGTGAGTAATGATTGGATAATAGCTTATAATACCTCTCGTGTTGTTTGTCTGTGGTTTTGTGTGTGTTAATCACAAAAACTGCTTGTTTATTTTTAATAGGTTTTTCTTTAATTTGTAGGGGTTAGTTTCAATTAAAGTTTATTATGATTTTCATCGTGATCTGTCTATAAATAAAAAAGTTGTGTCATTTGATTTTCTATATCATGATATCCTAGCACATACCTAAAGCCTAGTGGGAATCATACTAATATTATAAATGCGAAAGTTTAGATGGATGGATGGATGCTTGTAAGAGTGTGTAGCCTAAACGGCTGAACGGATTTCAATGAAATTTGGTATAGATGTAGAGGATAGTCCGGAAGAACACATAGGCTACTCACTTTTGTTTTTTTTTTAATTCCACGCGAACGGAGTCGCGGGCTAAAGCTAGTGGTAAAATAATTAGTAGTAAATTAACATAAATCTACTAACTAATATTAGATCTCAGATTTGCTTGGTATTTTAAATTTAAGTATAAAGTTTAACTTAGCCTGTAACACTGGAGAACTTTATTTACTATGTTTGTTGTAATTGTACCAGGAGTGCATAATAGCGGACTGCGGCGAGATCTTGAACCCACTGGACTGGGGCGTCTGCTGCAACGACGGTACGAGCGACAGACTGCCCGAGTACCCGGAGGACTCCGCCTGCGATACGCTGCCTGTAAGTATAACCAGGACTGCATAAGTTGAGATTCAAATTGTATTAGATCTCGTTAAACTTTGGTTAATGGCGCCTAAAGATCGAAATTAGCCATAAAAGTACCCAACTATCAAAAATATATAAACGTAATCAATAATTACTAGATACTTAGACACATAAAATGGTTACTCAAATAGCGTCAAAGTGTAGATTCTCTTACTATTTACAATAATTATTTTGTGATTTTAAAATATTTTCGTTTTCAATCTTGTGAACACACTGTATTTTAATCAAAGGAACTGATATTCCTGTTGTATTGTTCGCATCTATTTATCCTTTGTAATTGTTAGAAATTAACAATCAAACTGGCATAAACAATGTCACAAAATTGTTTACTGTAATTGTGTAAATATGTATATGTATGTACACGTCATATGTGCTCAGTTTGATCTGTAATTCTATTGTTATGGTAATCGTTAGTTCAACCGTTTTTTATGGTAAATTACAGCTAATAATAGATTCTAAGCTATAACCGGTGAGGTTGGGTTTTACAATGTAACTATATCCTTTTTTATTGCATTGGTATCAGAAGTAATCGCACATTTTTTTTTTGTTTATAATCCTAGGTTTTTTTTGTGTTCTTCCTCTACAGCAGGGTTTCCCAAACTATGGGTCGCGACCCACTGGTGGGTCGTTAAATTTCCTAGAGGTGGTCCTGAGTTGTTAAACTTTCATTAGATGGGTTGTATCCCAGGCTACTTTGGGCACCACTGCTGTACAGTGTCATAGGACTATAGCTTGAATTACAATATTTAGTTATTGTTATGTTTATATTTTTGATTCGAAGGTCCAACATTTTAAGTGTTTTCGAATCGATATTTCGATATTTTTAATCTTTATTTTTCCCTTAATCTATGTTTAATTTACTACCCGTTTCTGGTTTTTTTTTATAACATAAGGTGGCAAACGAGCAAGCGGCCACCTGATACCGCCAAAATGGCGAAGCGAC